TTTTTTTTTTTTTTTTTTTTTTTTTTGAGACAAGGTCTCACTGCATAGCCCTGGCTGGCCCAGAGTTTACTATTTAACAAGGCTGGCTGAAGTCACTCGGAGTTTCATTGCTGGGATTAAAGACATGCACCAAGAAGAGCCCATGTATTCTTTAGCATCTGGCCCAACACTGGCTTTAAACATTACATCTATTTGTACATGTGCATGCTAGAGGCCAACTTGTGGGAGTCTGTCTCCATCCACCATGTGGGTCGTACTTCAAACAACCCAGTCCGGCATAGCCTGGAGCAGAATTACCTCAGCCTTCAGGGTGCTGGGGGTTATAGGTACATACCACCATGCCCAGGTCCAAGAAATCCTGTCAACTCTCCTCTTGCTACACTATCTCAGGGCAAAGGTCTACCTCCTAGTCACATTTCTCTACAAAGCTGTATGGTACCACAAACTACAGCAGTAGCCTTTAAAAAAAAAAAATCAGCAGATGATTTGGGGCAAGTCTTGCTATAACTCATCCTGACCTTGAATGCCTATTTGACCCTGTCAGCCTCTTTAAGCACAATCATAAATGTCACTTACTACACTCAACAAACTCACTTAAAAAATTTAATAGCTGACTTCCCACAGGGCAGGGAACCCTGATGGCTCTTTGGGCTGACAAGGGAGGGGGACTTGATTGGGGGAGGGGGAGGGAAATGGGAGGCAGCCGTGGGGAAAAGAGAAATCTTTAATAAATAAATAATTTAATAGCCAACATGTAAGTGCTCTTTTCCCGTTCAAACTCCAACTTTGTATGCAGTTCAATTAGATCTACAAGGTTCTTAAAAACTACCTGGCCAGGAGCTGGAGAGATGGCTCAGAGGTTAAGAGCACTTGCTGCTCTTCCAGAGGTCCCAAGTTCAATTCCCCACAACCACATGGAGGCTCACAACCATCTGTAATGAGATCTGGTGTCCTCTTCTGTCACACAGACGTACATACAGACAGAACACTCTGTACATAATCTTTAAAAACTACCTGGCCAGAGCCACAATATGTAGACTAGGCTGGCCTTCCCAAAAACTTTGCCGACTGAGGGGATGTAAACCAGATTTCACCACAGGTGTTCACTGTGAAGGCTTTTAACTTTCCCACTACTTACCACTGCTCAAAATATAAAAGGACTTCTTCCTAGCAAAGGGAATTACCCCAACCAGCCAGTACCTTACCAAAGCAATGGAGCCATGTATTTCAGTGTAATTAGCCAACAAACCCCCCTCCCTTCCAAAGTACCCAAACACACCAACATCTAAAGAGCTCAACCAAAACTCTGGCTATTTCCCTCCAAAGCCTTTAAAATGAGCTTCAGAAAAGTATGTTTGCTTCCCCCAAAGGCTGCATGGGAACCACCCCCATATTGTTGCAAATTGTTATTATAGCTTTGTCATTAACTTTTAAACTCAATTCCCAACTCATATAAGATTAAGTGTTGCAAACTGTTAATACCAATCTTTAAAGGTAAAGACAACCAGATGAGGTCCACCCCCACCCAAGCCACCACAGAAATCTCACAAGTGACACCATATATGCTTACCATGCAACAAAACCTTTATTAACATTTTTTTTAACAGGTTCAGCTATTACTGAAACTTGTATTTTCTAAACTTAAATTGGGACAAATGGCCATAGTGCAGAGTAATGCCACCATTGCCCACTGGGAATGCAGACTGAAGAATTAATAGCCACCCCTGAGACGGAGGACCAAGTGCAGGGTGGACTCTTTCTGGATGTTGTAATCGGAGAGAGTGCGGCCATCTTCCAGCTGCTTGCCAGCAAAGATGAGTCGCTGCTGGTCAGGGGGGATGCCCTCTTTGTCCTGGATCTTGGCCTTGACGTTCTCGATGGTATCACTGGGCTCCACCTCCAGGGTGATGGTCTTGCCGGTCAGGGTCTTCACGAAGATTTGCATTTTGACCTTGAATTTAAAAGGTTAATTGTAAATATCTAGTAAGAATTTCGACTTCCACAAAATACCTCTAGGGAAAACCCCTCCCCCGCGTTTCATCACAACACAAAATCTGTTTTGTCATGGTTCAAAGATGCGAAAGCATTTTAAAACACTAAACTGGCGTCCAGAACCGTCACGGGCTGCAAGACTTCCGAATCTGCCAGTAACAGCCGAGATATATGAATTAAAAAAAAAAACCCAAACCACAAGGCCGTTAGTAAAAATTCCCATTTAAACACAAACACATAGCTCCTACAATGAAATTAGCGTTAAGCCTGGCCGTTGAGTCGCCGAGTACCTCCTTTCTGCATTCCCCCACTGAAATAACCGCGATGGCCTCTCCATCGGTTAGGCGTCCGTTAAGCTCCCTGGCGCGCGCGCCAGGGCCGCCCCCGCTCCGCGCACGCGAACAAGGCCCACTCTTCCCGGAAGGCCCGTTGCCGCGTCACGACAGCTCGCCCTCCCCTCCCCCACCCCTAAGAAAAAGCCCGTCTAGCTTAACGTAAGCCCCTTCTCCTAGTCCTTCCGACTCAAGCGCCGCTGACCATTACCCGTTAACGAATGTGATGAAACGAGAAAACGCCGAGCGAAACACCGGGACGCGAAGACCTCAGAGCCGCACAATGCCTCTCGTCACTGAGCTCCGCTGCCGCGCGAGCCACTATTTATGCAGCGTCTGTTGCGTCACTCAGCACGCTTACGTAGCCGTCGTCTTCCTGCGCCACCGAAAGTAGTCCCTCGTCCACCACCTCCTACCACTCAGTTAGACTTTTCACCCAAGGGCCCAGTTCCTCAAAACCGAAGAAAAGAACACTAACAAATAAAAGACCCTTTATTTCCGGCGACCCTTCTCCTCCTGAACAAAAATATGGACAAAATCATCGGGCGGATGGATTCAAGTTAAAGGGGCCTCCCTCGAAAGCTCTGGAAACTTCCTTGCTGCGTCAGCGCTGATTGGTGAGGCGACAAAGATTAAGCGGCGCTGATTGGTCAGGGCCACGGGCCGCTCGATTGTTGCTGGGCTCGGTTCTGGGGCAGTTTAACGTCGACGTTGCTAAGTAACCGGGTGCGCCTGCGCCGCGACTCGTTTTCGAGAAGTACCGTCGTTTCCTGCCTGAGGTGGGGGAGGGGGTCTTCCCGCGTCCCGAGTCCTGCCCCCCCTCCATTCCCCTGTGGCCTCGGCGGGCTTACGCCTTAGCGTGAATTGCGACCCCACACGGCTCGCACTGCTGGACGTTAGCCTTCGCTCCGTCCCCTGCAGGGTAGACATTGATGCTTCTGCAGCCAGAGCCCTTAGCGGCTTTGTCTTATCCCTAGCCGCCCGCAGGCTCAGACGGGGGAGTCGAGCGTCAGCGGGGCTGGAGGCTGAGGGCTCTGTTAGAGACCCGGCCGGGCAGATTCTCTTCCTCCTCAGTAGTCTTTAAACAATGGAAGGAAGGGGGGCACTTGCTTATTAGACTCAATACCCAGGGTTCACCCACCTCTCTAATTGGGGGTGCCTATTGTACAAAGGAAGGGGAAGGAGCAGTTTAATCCTAGAACCTCAGGATTGGGTTCAGACATCCTGGGTGTGGCCGTTTTTCCCTCATCGAGATAAACAAGGAGCAAGCAGGGCTGCGTGGATCGCGACGTCGTGCGGAGTCACGAGGGTGGCCACGTAAATAACCTTGAAAACAGCTTTGTTTGCCCCGGCTGCCAACCACCTTTCAGTAAGACCTCTAGCTGTGTTAAATTAAGTAACCTTCACTCTGTAAAGGTTCACTAGTTTTTAACATAGAACTGAACGAAACGTTGGGAAATTTTCTGGTTTGCCTAGCGCGAACCAAAAGTCCCCAGCTTCGATTTCCTCAGCACTGTGTCTACTATTTAGAATAAAGAGTTGGTAGATTTTAATTTGAAATGGATTAAAGTTTAGAAAATGTCCTTTTTACATAGTACTTTATTCTTCTTAGGCCTCATGAGTTGGACCTTGTTTCACCAAGCAGAGTAAGTCCTGAGTCAGACATTTTGACGTGCAGGTTGAGCGAGAATGCAGATCTTATGACTGGTGTGATGACTTCACTGGGTTATATTCTAGCAATTTCCAGAACGTAGTCTTATCACTTCCTGGTTTATTGTTTTCTCAAAGTAGATCATTTGATTACTTCAGCACAGCAATGATGTTTCAAAAGAATGGCATCTGGACTCCTCCTAACGCAGATGAGATGGCATTTTTTTTTAAGATTTGTTTATTTATTATGTATGCAGTATTCTGGCTGCATGTATAATCATACATGCCAGAAGAGGGCACCAGATCTCATTACAAATGGTAGTAAGCCACCAAGTGGTTGCAGGGAATTGAACTCAGGACCTCTGGGAGAGCAGCCTGGGCTCTTAACCTCTGAGCCATCTCTCCAGCCTCAAGATGGCTTTTTTTTTTTTAAAGATTTATTTATTTATTATGTATACAGTGTTCTGTCTGTATGCTTGTTGGCCAGAAGAGGGCACCAGATCTCGTTACAGATGGTTGTGAGCCACCATGTGGTTGCTGGGAATTGAACTCAGGACCTCTGGAAGAGCAGTCAGCGCTCTTAACCTCTGAGCCATCTCTCCAGCCCGGCTTTTTTCATAGTATAATTTTTATTTGGTCCATGAGTCCTTGTCTCTCCCTACTCGCCACCCCTGACAGGGGGGTCACTGTGTAGCCCCTGGTTGGCCTGAAACTACAGTGTAGATCAGGCTGGCCTACAGCTCAAAGGGATCATCTTGGCTTTGCCTTCTGAGTATTGGAATTAAAGACCTGGACCATCATTCATGCCCAACTGTATGTATGAGTGGTTACATACATACATAACTAAGCAGTTGTGATCCAAGTGTGGTCTCTACAGTGATCTTTGTCTCGACTCCAGTTTCTCCTTCAAGATGGTGGTTGGAAAAGTTCTTGGACCTGCGTGAAATCTCTTTCTACCAGGCAGGAACCAGGCTTGTAAGCCTTTTCCTTCATTCAGCAAGAGAAGATACCTTGATAAATTCCAATTTCTACTGTCTCAAAAGTTATGTATATAGCTGCCTTTTATTTAAAAGATTTTATTATTTTTAATTATGTATATTGTAAAACTACACCGGTTCCATTCTGTGCTCTACTTGCTATGCTACCACTATGGAAACTAGGCTGAAAATTTTAAAATATACAAACAGAGACAGACAGACAGGCCCATGGGTACATCCTTGAGACAAGAATGCCAAGAAGGCCCCCTTTATTGTGCTCAGGGGCAGCTTATATACGGCTCTGACCAAGCCCCAGCTCTCAGGATCTTTCAGCTGCAGACTCATCAGAACCCACTCCCCTGCCATAAGCCTCTGCAGGCTGCTCAGAGCAGAGGAAAACAAGTTGTTGACAAGAAATTCAGGGTCTGGTGGTCCACAGTCCCCAACAGTGTGTGTGTGTGGGTACATGGATGTGAGCACAGGTGCCTGCAGGGGCCAGAAGAGAGTGTTGGGTACCCGGGAAGCTGTAGTTACAGGGGGTTATGAGCTGCCTGACATGGTGCTGGGAACCAAACTCGGGGCCACTGCAAGAGCATCAAGGGTTGTTAACTGCTGAGCCATCTCTCCAGCCTTTCTTTAAACCTAAACCTCATGTTGGTTCTCTGAAGATGGACTTGGTGGGGAGGCCTTGAACCTCTTTCCAGTGGCACCACATTGGGTAAATTTCCTTTTTCCCTGTTGCACTATTTCTTGTCTACTTATCCCATGGAGATAGGTGGCCGAGCCTAGCTTACGAGGGCTGCTAGGGCCTGGGTTCTGACTGTACCATGCAGGTCTGTGGCGATATTTAAAATGTAATATTAGGAGGCTGAAGAGATGGTTTGGGAGTTAAGAACCCTTACTGTTCTTGCAGAGGTCTTCAATTCCGTTCCCAGCACCTGTGTCAGGTGATGCCCTCTCAACTCTGCACACCTGAAACGCACTGGGGTGTGTAGCTATTTGCTTAACACAGGTCAGTAATTAATTAATTAGGTTATTTATTTGTTTTTTGAGACAGGGTTTCTCTGTAGCTTTGGAGCCTATCCTGGAACTAGCTCTTGTAGACCAGGCAGGCCTTGAATTTAAAGAGATCTGCCTGCCTCTGCCTCCCGAGTGCTGGGATTAAAGGTGTGTGCCACCACCCGTCACAAGTAAGAATTTTTAAAGTAGGTATAGTCAGTCACTCATGTCTATAAACACCAGCACTTGCAGAGCTGGGACAGGAGGACTGTCAAGAGTTTGAGGCCAGCCTGAGCTATATAGTGAGTTCTAGGCTACCCTAAACTACAAAGCATGGCCCTGTTTCAAAAAAAAAAAAAAACCCAAAAAACAAGACAATAAGAAGGGCTGAAGGTATATAGCTCAGTTGGTAGAGTGCTTGCCTGGCAGGCCCAAAATAATTCTCAGCACAGGGCAGAGGTCATCCTCAGCTACAGAGGATGGAGGACCAGAAGTTGAAGGTCATTCCTGCTACATAGTGAGTCCAAGGCCTCACTATTGGTTGTTCAGATCTTGATTAGACTATCAGGTGTTCTACACAGGCAATGTACACAGCGTCACAGAGTTAAATACAACATAAACAAAAGTCACATACCGTAGCATAATATTCCCCAACAACTACTTATCCTTTAAAGAACTGTCATGCTTGTAACTAATGTTGTGGTATGAGAGCAAGAAAGAGTATTGTTCTGGTTTTTAGTAAGACATTTCAGAAGGTAAGTCAAGTTTGTCAATAAACCTTTTTTTTTTTTTTTTTTGCTTTTCAATACAGGATTTCTCTGTGTAGTTTTGGAGCGTGTCTTGGAACTCACTCTTGTAGACCAGGCTGGCATCGAACTCACAGAGATCCACCTGCATCTGCCTCCGAAGTACTGGGATTAAAGGTGTGCGCCACCACCGCCC